TGTTTTGGATGCTTCTCCTGACTTGAAAACATATTGGGGATTATGGGAATCTCTAGAAGTCAGAGAAAACATGTTGTATTACAAGTGGAAGTCATTAGATGATAAGGTGTCTTTGTTGTTGATTGCTCCTAGACACATTAGATCTCAGATATTTCATGAGCTGCATGAGAATAAAACTGCTGGTCACTTAGGTAGAGAACGTATCATTAAATCCATTAAGCGTAGGGTATATTGGCCTGGTATGTCTTCAGACATTAAACGATGGTGTAGAGAGTGTGATGTTTGTGCCCGAGCAAAAGCTGGTCCAGGTCTTGGGAAGTCATCTCTTCATCAATCGGTTATAGGTGCTCCTTTAGATAGGTTAGGAGTTGATATTTTAGGCCCTTTGCCCAGAACAAGTAATGGTAATGAATACATCATAGTTCTCTGTGATTATTTTTCTAAGTGGGCTGAAGCTTATCCAGTACCTAATCACACAGCTTTGACAGTAGCAGATAAGATAGTTAATGAATTCATCTGTAGATTTGGTGTCCCTAAACAGATTCACTCAGACCAAGGTCGCGAGTTCCAGTCGGAACTATTTTCTGTCTTATGTGAGAAGTTAGGCATTGAAAAGACACGCACTACTCCATATAGGCCACAGTCAGATGGTTTAGTTGAGAGGATGAATAGGACACTTTTGCAAATGTTGTCAGCTTATGCAAATAAAAATAGGGATAATTGGGATGACAATATACCCTTTGTTCTTATGGCATATAGGTCAACCATTCAAGAAAGTACAGGTTGCTCACCAAATTTAATCATGTTTGGCCATGAAATTATGAGCCCAGTTGATCTTATGTTAGGGAATCCTCCTTCTTCACCTATTCCCACTTGCCCTGTAGAATATGTAGAGTGGTTAAGAATAGTTTTAGCTGATTCTTACAATTTTGTGTCTGAAAATCTTAGACAGGCAGCAATACTATGATAGGGGATTAAAACCTAGAGAGTTTTCAGAAAATGACTTTGTCTGGAGGTGGTATCCACCCTCAGCTGGTGTTAAGTTAGGATTAGGATGGGTAGGGCCATACAAAATTATTAAGAAGATCACAGATGTGACTTACCAAGTTCAAAAAGACCCTAAGAGCCCTCTCATTGTGGTACATGTAGATCAGTTAAAACCCTATGAAGGCATTTTACCTCCTAGAAACTGGACACCAGTAGTTACTTCCCTTGACGAGTCATTAGAACCCCCTGTAGATAATACTCCTGTAGATTTTAATGATCAAGAGGAAGTTGAGGAGACTATTCCTCCTGTTTTTAATTTACCTAGTCCTGAACCCCTTAGACAGTCAAGGTGGGGTAGAACAATCAAACCCCTTGTTATCTACTCTCCTTGAGACCAGGCATCTAGGCATTTTATTTTTTTATTTTTTTTTTTAAATGCCTATGTAAATAGTTATTTTTATTTTTGAATTCTATATAACATGATATATAAAAGGTTTGAGTTGACCTTTTGTAGAGATAGCAAATGACATTTAATTTTTGAAATATCTCAGTCTAGTTAAAGTAAATCCTGATTACTTATTAATGATTTAGTTTTTGGTAGTCATTTATTTTCTTGCGAATAACATTCAAGTTAGCACTGTGTTTGACTTTAGTAGATACAAGGTCAATGATAGATGTTTTATTTATTTAATAAGACACAGTAGTTGGCAATAATTTATAGTTATCTAGAAGTCAAAACAGTATATTTCAGTTCTTTCGGTTTATTCAGTAACAGTAATAATAGATATGAATCATTGAGAGCTTGGTATTCTTAGTTTAATACTGACCGTAGATGATCTGTAAGTTATCTCCCTTGTACTGTGCTGAAATCAACACCTAAGTTTTTCATATAGTTAATCTATGGAAGGTGATGCATAGTCATCCCTTGTTTAGGTTATGTTATAAGTATGTGCACTACTTGATAACATTTTAGTTTTAATTCAGTGGATTCTGAATTTGATAGATAACTATATTGATTAACTTTCCACTTATTCAGATATTATTTAAAGTCTTAGAATTTAAGATTTTAATTTTGAAAAGTTATTTTCTTAGAGATATGACTCCAGAACTTGCATTGATGGTGATTAATTTGATTTGATTCTTTTCTAATCCTTGTTATACAATTTCTTGCACAAGTTGACAGCTGATGTTCTTGAGGAGTAGACGATCCAGAAGAGACCACGCAGATGAGCTTCAGTACTATTTACACCCCAGGACCATGTGTTATGCCTGAGCCATCCGTTTATTGCGAGACAAGGACTAGACCGCAGCAGTTGTGCGATCGTTAGATTTCTCACTGTGGGACCATTCCTGGAACCTCCAGAGGATTCTGAATAATGACAATGACATTAACATTTGTCTATTGTTTTGAAAACAAAAATTATTGTAAATTTTTTTTTTAAGGGGGGAGGAATGTAGTGGTTTAGATTTCTATTTCATAGCCCTTGTTTCGTAAATTACATTTTGCAAGTATTTGTTGGTATTTCAGTCTGATAATTCTATTTACCTTATGTTTTCAGTTGTTACTTAAGTAAAACCTCTTTATTATTTGTCTGTTATAAGTTAGGACATGTGTTGACATTCCACATGTTTTACTTTTTAAACAGGAAGTGTCATCCATGTACGGAGTCTTTCCATAGTACTTTTGGTAGCTGTGTTCTGATTGGTTAACTTAGCTATAGAATCTTTGATGTTTATTGGCTTTTATATTTGGGCCTATAGCTAGGGTATTTAAAGCCGTGTTCGTGTAGTTTTCTTCACTTGGGTTGGGGAACAGACCTAATGGTTAGTTCCTCTTTACAGTGCTAATAAAACCTCCTGGTTTAAACGCACTTATTTGCTTAGTACCCTTTAGTAGTGCTAACAAAATCTTATGATTTAACAGTACTCTAGGTCTTAGCTAGCTTTAGTTTCACGTTTTTCACAGATTCTAGATTTTTTTTAGGAAACAGTTAGGATGTAGGTTTAATAGAATAAATTTATTTTCCCCTTTCCAAGTCAAGCCTGGTCTAGGGATTTGTAGATAACAGGTATAATTCCTAGAACCACTATTTACTATTTATTATTTATTTTTGGTGTTGTTTATTTTCTGGGTCAGTTATTTTTAGAACCTAGAATTAGCATTGATATTTTCAGTTCAACTCTAGAGTGTTGATAGTAGTCATATTGAGTGATGTAGCTCATTCCTTTGACACTTTTCTAATTTATTCATTTAATAGGATTTTTGACCTTTTTCATAAGTATGGAAACTCGGTAGGGACATAAATTATTTTCATAGGTTTTTCACATTCCTCCCATTTTTCCTATTAAATTTTTCACAAACTTCTTATTTATTTATTGAGATTATTGTTATTCACTTGCCAGATTAAATTATATTTTTGTTTAAACTATTTATTCCTGTGCAATTTTGAAAGACTTTATTCTTGTTTGAATTTTGACTATTATTTATTATTTGTTATCATTTACGAAGGTTAATTCTCACTTTATTAAATTTATAAAACTTACAACTGTGTTTTCATTTAGCGTTGATCATAGTTCAGATATCCCCTTACCTGGGTTGACAATCATAACTGGAGGCAGTTTACTGCTTTAAGCCATGTTGGCTATTAACTTTGTTGGGTGCTAGGACTTTCAAGAATCCCGGATTTTGGGAGAATCCCCCTACAGAAACAAGAATCCCCGACAAAAACGTAGAATCCCCATAAAAATGAATGAGTTTGGATACAAAAAGGGTTTAGGTGGTGATTACTAGGACGATAGTTTTTTCTGTACATTTTTATAGCCAATTTTACCCGAGAATCGACGGAAATCGGACGCCATTACTAGTTGTCGTGGTATACCGTATAGGAATATACAATGTATGTGTATTAATTATTCATATTATCCCAATGTTACCATAATAAATATTATAGAAATAAATAAATGAAATAAAGAAAAAATAACTAAAAAAAAAATAAATAAATAACTTAAAAAATAAAATAAATAAATTAATCAAGATATAAATAAATAAATAAATTTCAAATTAAAATGTCCCAAAATATAAGCAAATTGAATTTTCACTGAGCTGTTTATCAACCATATTGAGTCTCTTGGCTTATGTAGAAATGTACTTAGGGGATAGACATACTATCTCATTGTCTTTCTGTAACAGTAAAACATATATTTCACAAATATTTCCAAATTCTCCAACATAATTTTCGATATAAAATTCCCATATGGAAGGTTATAAAACCAGTGTGGACAAAAGGAGTCAATGAAGCCCTCAAATATGTTGATTTATAATATTTTTAATTATATTTAATTTTTATTCATTTTTTTAAATTTCCTTTTATGTATTTATAATCATGATAATTCTTATTATAAAATTCATATATAATATCATTTACTTTTTATAAGCATGAATATTTTTCACGTATAACTTCGAACTACATGTCAGCGATCGCGATTTTAGATCGGGCGTGGTATACGGTATACCACGACAACTAGTAATGGCGTCCGATTTCTGTCGATGATTCTCGGGTAAAATTGGCTATAAAAATGTACGGATAACACTATCATCCTAGTAATCACCACCTAAACCCTTTATGTATCCCAACTCATTCATCATTATGGGGATTCTACGTTTTTGTCGGGGATTCTTGTTTCTGTAGGGGGATTCTCCCGAAATCCCGGGATTCTTGAAAGTCCTAGCGCCGACCATCCCAGAGTCAATCCACTAGACATGCGCATCACACTTAGCGACGGATAAACGCCACCTAAAATCAACAATTTTGTGAAAGAACGAAAATTTAAACAATATTTTATCTGATTTTGCTTGATCTCTATATTACTTCATTTATACATATATTTATATACTTGTTATTTAATCATTGAATTATGCTTTATAAATGAAAAAATATATTTAATTTTTTTTCATTTACCGTTTTCGTTTCCGGATAATTCAATCCTGATATATATTGATCTCGAGTTGAGAACAGAGGAACACAGCAGACAGAATCATCGAAAATGCCTTCAAAAGCGAAGCCTGTATATAAAGGAGGGGAAAGAATGAAGTTTATTGAGATGTTGCATCATAAAAGTCACTGTAAGATTTTGGAGGATATATATTATTTTTATTCTGTTAAGGTAACAGGTTGCCTTTTCGGTCATTTGAAGAATAAGTTCGAATTTGTAACAGGAATTTTAAAATTTGTGTCTAAGGTATATATCAATAGTTTAAACAGATTACGTAAGATGCTACTAGAATGCCTCATTTTTTATATATATTTTCGCTATGATTTATTTTCATTACTATCTTCCGAATCCTTATTAACGATATACATATATCCGTACGACACATGATCACATCACCAAAGAACAGAACTTCAAATTACAACTGTATCGTGAGATTATCCTCACCATGAATTATCAAATGCATTTTGGTGCATGCTTTAAAAGCCTTTTGTCTGCTATAATTGATCTAAGTATAATAAGAAGATTGTAAGATTCTTTTACTATTCTGCTTTATGTATAATGTACGTGTCATGATGAAGATGAATGTCAGACATCTCGGCCCATTGACATCTCAGCCCAATGTCATCTCATCCCAGACAGGTCGGCCCAAGATTTAAGACAGATCGGTCCATATATAAGACACCTCGGCTCAAACAAAATTTTATTACAAAATATATTTTATATATCCAATTTACGACTTGAATAAAATATTGACTGAAAAAAAAGTAAATGCGTAGACGATCAAGATTTTTTTTTTATTATAAAAAGACCTTCCACAAGCACATTGACGACTCTCAAGGAATGAAAAGACAAAGTGCTAATTGGTAAACAATGCGGCCATCTTACATGGACTCTCCACTTTGGTCATACTGGTGAAAATGAGGGGTTGATTACGAGCAGGATTAATTAATTGTGAGACAGTAATTAAGAATTATACATCCATTGAATATTTCCTCCTTTATTTCTTAACAAAACCATAGGCACTCCCCAGCTTAACTGATTTAAAAATATTTATCTGCTATACTATAAATATATTTTAATATGTCTATAGTATAGTAGATATATATATATGAAAACCACTTTCATTAACATCGCTAATTTTAAATCATTTCGAATTCGTTTTTTTTTCTTCTCCAGACTACTTGTATTATATGGCGTTTTTTAATCAATAAAAGATGAGATGAAGTTCAGGTCAATAATGCAATTATTTTACATACTTAAATATTTTATTATTACATTATACAGACGTAAGTGTAAACAGTAAAATGTCTTTCCCTTTTTGTTAATCAGTAAGTTAAATAAATGTAAGATTAAAATTTTGCTTGGGCCGAGGAGTCTTTTATATGGGCTGACGTGTCAATAATTTTGGGCCGACCTGTCAGGGCCGAGGTGTCAGACGTGACGGGCAGAGGTGTTGCTGGGCCAAGATGTCTGTCTACCATGAAGGTTACACTGTAAATTCTGTAATATGTATCCCCTACTACCCCAAACTCGATCACCATAAGCGGAAAACACATCGCATTACTCTCTTAGGCCCCCAAAAATTAATAACTTGGTTCTCAGGCCAGTTTTCTCAAAAATAAATGCAGGAGAGAGGCTTTTTCCCCTTTTAATCTTGTAAAAAACAGACGCAGGGTTTTTGATTTTTTTTTTTAATTTCAAAAGTAGCAACTTTTAATCAACAGTGCTTCAACATTGAGTGTAGAAATCAAGATAATTATTTCCTGCATTTTTCTCTCTTCTCTTGCATCTTCTAAATACCGATGATTTCATTTTGTGTAACCCACACTGAAGAAATCTGCGAATCTTGCTGACGTCCAAGCTCCGAGGTTGAGGGAGCCGTCTTTGATGGCAATATTGATCAAGTTCTAGCATGGAAAAACCTTCAGAAACCCCCACTTTGTACTATGGAAGTATTACAGTCATTCCTTTATAAATTTAAACTGAAATCAATGCCATCATGACTAAAATTAATCTTGATGCCTTAACCTGTTAACTCAATGGCCATATTTGTGATTTCTAACTAGGCCAATAGTCTGGATCATCTTGATGTTTGTCAAATGTTTTATTGATTTCTAAAATGCAGTCAAAATGCGGTTGGAGATTCCAGATTTTTTTGGCACAGCACAAGCGCATGAGAGACATTTTATTTTATTCATTTGAGGATAAAAATGGGTAATGCGCATTGTTGAATGAGATGCGGGCGGGCCTGAGAACCAGGTTATTAATTTTTGTAGGCCTTAGTTATTCTTTTTATTTATTTGTTGTTTGCTACGTTTAGTAATAAACTTAATGGCATTGGCAAGGTTCCTGGTTGTTGTTTAAAATTTTTCAAGAACTCTTGAGTAAGTTTAATTGTACTAAACAGGCTATATATTCTGGATCGTTTAATCTACCAAGCCAACCTTCTTTTTTAGATGTTGTCAAATCAGTGTTTTTACAATTCCGAATGCATTTCCTATGTAAAATGTTGATAAAAGGGACCTACATAATTTTTCACCGTGGTATTTCTCCAAAACCCACTTATTTCATATAGTTTTTGTATTATATACATTATTGTATCTTCATTTCCTATGACTTCTAGATATTTTGGCCGAAAATTTATATATGGAAACAAGTCATGGACATAACGGCACTGATCTTTATTTTTGAGTTACTTCCCTTAACAGCTATAATTATATCATGCATATTGCATAATGGTCAAGAGACTGGTTGATTGTTTCTATCATGTAATTGACCCGAATTGATTGAAACACATTGTCATAAAAATATTGGCATGGATTTATTTTTAATTTTTATTCATAATTACTAAATGCTGCTTCCTTCACTTGACCTAAGAACTGTTCTCAGTTGGTCTACCTTTCAGCATATGTCATATCTTTGCCCTTCCCAGCATACTGAGCTTAACTATGGTAAATGATGACCTGTTGGCTCTTTGTCCCCTGAATAAAATGTACAACAAAGCCATTACTACTTTTCTTTCGTGCTGTGTAGATGATTCTACCCGTTGAAGGAAGTACACATGCCTTTGTTTACCTCTGCTTTATTGGTTTTCGCTGCTTTATAGAGAATTCTACACAGGAGATCACTCTCAATCACAATCGGATCACCTCACCCTTTTCCGTCGCACACTAGAATTCTAGCATGCGATGGAAAAGGGCGAGGTGATCCCACTGTCTCAATCACTATTTTATAAGTGAAAAAAACCATGTATTAAACCTTTTTTCTCCGGAAAACCCTGACTTGGCAATGTCCTTAAGAATTGTTTTTATTACTATTTTAAAATAAAAAAATTGCAGTTACTGGGCTTATGTAAAACCACTAAATAGAATGCATGTCACACGTTCAATGAACCCGAACTCCGTCACCAGGGTCCTCTACAATATGTCAACATTTTGAATAGAAATTTGTTGTCAGCTTAGTTTTTTGCCCCTTTCATAAACTTGTAAACACAAATCGTCATCTCCGACGTGTAGTGTATAAGTGTAAGTGAAGATGAAAAATAAAATATTTTTAGCCCTATTCAATATGGTATGTCTTGCTAAATCTTCGACATAGACTTCATAAAAATGGCTGACGTGAAATTTAGAATAATGATCGATGCACATGCCTGAGATATCAATGGAATAGCTTATAAAGGAAAAAAATGCTTACTGATTTCACATAGAATATTTTAAATACAATAGATTAAGTGTAAATGTTATTCGTTTTTGATGCATTCTTGAACTGGACTGTTATAATTTGTTGGCAAAAAATGATTTCACAATTGCATTTGTTTACAAATAGCGTGGAGTTTCCCAAAAGCGACAGAGTTAGGGTAGTGATGGAGTTAGGGGGTTTGGCAATATTTGTGTAAAAATTGACTCATGTTTTTTTTCCCTTTAAACATAGGTTTAAACTGTATGATTTTTTGGCAAATAAATAGTTGAAATACAATGCCAGAAATATTTACTAGAAAAGAAACAAAAATGACAAATTTGTGCTATAAATTGTGATTTGTAATTTTTAAAGAAATAAGAAAATTTGGATGGTTTGAAAATATAGATCTAAAAGATGTATCATATGATAGATGTAATGCATATGCATAATTCTACTTATGCAAATTAATTCAAATTTCTCACCTCAAACCTTAGTCTTAAATTATTATCACTTTATGTCTCATCATTATATACTCCATTCAGTCTAGAAAGAATTTTAGTAGATATGTGTGTGTGTGTTTTCCCATCTACTGTAATTATTTTTTCTGCAAATTGCTTGATTAAATTGTGACATTAATCGAGTATATGGTATGATTAACAAAATCAATCGGTTATTGTGCTATATGTCCTTTAAATAATGTTTTTAAAGTAAAACAAAAATCAGGAATGTTCAAATATGTATAATAGTCAGATGCTTTAGTCAAATGATAGTCAAGTACTAGGGCTGGGACAATATATCAAGATATCAATAATATTGATTCTGTGTGAGGACAACACTCATATCGATACATATAAAGAAATATTGCCAAAAAAAATTCTGACTTGTATTTTTCTTTGTTTACTTAACATTTGGGGTTTAATATATAAAATAAAAATGCTAAATATAAATATGAAATACATGATAATTAACACACTTGTGTGAAATAATTTAGTTTAACAACAGATATAAAACTTCTTTGAATAAATTATTCTTATTTGTGAAGAAACATTTTGTTCATTTCAATACAAAAAAAAAGATTTTGAAACCAATTCAACATATCATGATACATATCGTATCCTGGCTCAAATATATCTATAAATGATACATATCGATATAGAAAAAGTTGTATCGTCCCAGCCCTATCAAGTACTCTTTAAAATATTTTGTTTGTGTGTGTCAATGTAAAGGTTTTGCCATGTCAGATTGGTACAATATCTATTCCATGCTACCATCACTTACTTAGTATTTTTGAATCAACATTTAAATAGATTCTGAAGTAAATATTTGAATTTATTTGAATTTGATTTCAAATTATTTGTTTTGCTGCATATGTTGTGTAAATAAGCTTTTCAAATACTTTTGCTTATTCTCTCTAATTACACGTGATTGATCCATCAACAGTTCCAGCTAAGTCATTAACCCATAACTGGTAAATAGGGGGATGGGGCTCAATCTGCACCTTGGCTTTTTTGCAGGGAACTTGGGAGAAAAATTTAGATTTTGACAAATTTGACAGATGTTGGCTTTTAGTCCTTTTAAATGATATAATAAATTTGATGTTATTAAAGACACAATACACCAGCTCAGCTTCATGTCATTTTCATTTTTTCACTCTTTCTATCATAAAACCCAATAAAACATGCCCATGCAGACTGCAGCTTTTATATGTATGTTTGACAATAAAAAATGAATGCACAATTATTTCCTTAACGAGAACAGTGAACAAAGAATGGTTTTAAGCGTTACCCTTATGTGATTTTACTGACAAAAGCACTGATGTATTTAGAAATAAGTTTAATTCAATTTCATTATGCCCTCCTTTTGAAGAAGGTAGCTAGGCATATTGCTTTTCTGCTGTCTGTCGGTCCACCAACAGTTTCCCTTCATTATCTTCGCAGAGGTTGCACATACTGGAATGAAATTTGAGATTTATCATAAGAATAGATAGTTTTCATACGACTATTTTCTCTCCGATTTATTTCCCTTGGCCGCCATCTTGGTGGTCAACCTGGTAATTTTTCCTCTTTGTTTTACCAAATTTAAGAGGGTGTAGCAGAAATATTTAGGGGAGAATCTTTATGGAATAAAAATTATGAAATGAAGGAGGCTTTAACAAATATATATTTTTCAGAAAAACAATGCTTCGTACCCCATAATGGCCAGTATAAAAAGTTAAAGTTGGTTGAATAATGAAGGAATATGAGCATGTTGACCTCCAATATGGCGGCCAACGGGAAATAACTCTTGAAAATTTGGGCCTACTGAAAACTATCTTTATCTAGGTCAACTTCTGTTTTGGGTACGATTGAGCAATTTTTGACAGAGTTCTGCCCCTTGGACTTAGAAAAATTCCAATTACTTGCAGTTTCCATTTATTTTCTTCGCAGAGCTTGCACATACTGAAATGAAATTTAGTATACAGATTTATCATAAGAATATCTAGGCCAAATTCTGTTATGGGTAAGATCAAGCAATTTTTGACAGAGTTCTGCCCCTTGGACTTAGGAAAATTCCAATTATTTGCAGTTTCCGTTCATTTTTTTTTGCAGAGGTTGCATATACTGAAATAAAATTTGGTATACAGATTTATCATGAAAATATCCAGGTCAAGTTCTGTTTTGGGTACAGTTGAGCAATTTTTGCCAGAGTAATGCCCCTTGGACTTAGAAAAATTCCAATTATTTGCAGTTTCCGTTCATTTTCTTCGCAGAGGTTACACATACTGAAATGAAATTTGGTATGCAGATTTATCATAAAAATATCCAGGTCAAGTTCTCTTTTGGGTACGATCAAGCAATTTTTGACAGAGTTTTGCCCCTCGGACTTAGAAAAATTCCAACTATTGGGGGGGGGGGGGCATAAGTGTTTCACAAACATCTCTTGTTACCTCAGATTTAAGATTACTGATTTGATTTTTTTGTTGTAGATGTGAACATGATGCTAAATTTTCAGACTTTTGTGGATGATATGAAATCATACCGCAAAAACAATAAAAATTAAACCCTCACGTAAATTAGTTATTTCACAGTTATATCCCTCCATTGATGTAATCAGATCAATTATTGATAAAAGTCGGTGCTTTTGTAACTGATGTAGCATATAATTTTAGATGTAAATCATATTCTTCATAATTTAATCACAGTTAGTAAAACAGAAGTGGAGAGGTTGTTACAAATGCTGAAACAACAGTGTCCAAACAGTCCAAAAATAAGGATGGATCGTAATAAATTCAACGACTTTGTGCACAAGAACTTTGAAATGACAGATGAAATGATAGTAGACAGAGGTTTGTATGTCATTTATATATATTCTCTAGTATTGTGTATTTTCATACATGGAAAATGCCTGTATCTTTTTACAGAGTTTCATTGTGGATGGATAGAAGAATTTGATAGTTAAAAGGCTTTTGGCCACCATCTGGATTACATCACAGTACAGTAAAACTCATTTAGTACAAACATGGATATAGCGAATTCTCGGATATAGCAAAGTTTTTCAAGGTCCCCGGCAAAATTCTTAACACTTCTTTGTAAAATTTTACAGTCATAACGAACTCTGATATAGCAAATTTAGGGATATAGCAAACTGATTTTGAGTCCTATAGAGGTTAAAAATAATGAAATTTACATCTTTTATAATGAATTTTCAAAGATCTCAAAATTTGATATATTGAACTGACTATATTTTCGATAAGTATTTGTATATAAAATTCAATTCATAATAAAACCTTAGTTATCCAAGGTATTTTTTGTAATAATTGCTTCCCTAACATATTCTGTAGTAATACTTGAAGGATTGCGAATTCACTACATATAGTTATACGAATTTATCTGGTTATAACAAATTACAAATATAGTGAAATTACAGATATAGTGAATTAAATTCACAAGTCCCCAGGACTTTGCTATAACTAAGTTTTGCTGTAGCTCAGTAGTTTATATTCTAAGCTTCTGCATGTATTTGAAAAAATGCAGTTGAGTTCTGACTACTTGAAAAAAAAACACTAAAATGTTTGTAGGACAGACAGAAAGAAAGACCCTGTGATATAATGATAATTTGTCATGGAGTATTTAACGTAGGTCGCGGGTTTGCTGACGTCCATAAAACTGGGTACACAATTTATATGATTTGACCGACTTTCTTGTGCACATTTGATTATGACGTCACAATGTGTAAGACATTTTAAACTACTGAAGTTATCACAAATAGAAAAACTTTTTAAATGTTGGAAAATCGAAAGCATTTATTTATCATCACATTGAGACCACAACAGTTTCACGAAAAGATATGGAACAACTGAACAAGTGTTAACTGCATGGTTATTTTTTTTCCTTCGACATATTTGAATAAAAAGTTTGTTACACTGAAAAACTGTCATTATATAAACAACCGCAGTTACAGCTGTTACAACAAAAGTTTAAACTTTATTTTTAAAAAGGAAATTTTTGAAATACATGTATATCTAAACGACGACAGATCTTCTATAAGTAACAGCTTACAATACTGTTCATGCGCGGATCTAGAAGGGGGATGGGGTCATTTAAAGTATATACTGAAGCAAATAAAAAATTACTTGGGACTCCCCTAGAAAACGTGAACCCCACCACCATCACCATGAAATAGGTATTTTTTTTTATGTTTGGGAATGGACTTTACGGGGTTTTTTTCTTTGCTTGTCAAGAAATTTTCTGGGTTTGATACGTTTGGGAAAGGAGTTTACGTTTTTGTTTTTTTGTTTTTGTTTTTGTTTGTTTGTTTGTTTGTTTTGTTTTGATTGGAAATTTTTTTTGACTGGGGTGAAACCCCCCCCCCCCCCCCCCCACTCCACTGGAAAAAATTCCTGGATCCACGCCTGCTGTTAGCTTGAGATTTTATCTAATTTGCTTATCTGGTCGAGCAAGTTGCGCTATACATTGAAAAGTCGCTAAACAAAAACAAAAACAAAAAAAAAAACAACAACAACAACAACAAAACTAAAAAAAACAAAAACAAAAAAAAAAGCAAAAAAAAAAACAAAACAAAACAAAAAAACTGAGTAGTTATTGTTAGCCTGTTGCTACGTGCTTGAGCTTGTTTATATCTGTTGGCTTGTTTCCCCCCCCCCCCCCCCCCCCCCCCCGCCCCACACACACACACTAAAAATTGCATCCTTTGTTCCTGTGTATCTTAATATCTTTTAAAAAACGCTCATCAAAGGCTTAATTCTTTAGAATAGTATAACACCACGTTTTGCAAATACTTTGACAATATCGAACAGCGTCGAGAATGAAAAATCGGACGTTCAAAAAAATGTACAAAGTTCGGTGAAAAATTCTGATCTTTTCAGACAAAACACGAGTAGTTCTTGGTATTTTTTAAAATTATTATTTACCAACAGAACGCTGACGACATGTGGTAATACGACAGTGACATCATGTTAAAGTAGCAGTCTTATGCTGCGTGTGTACTCATACAAGCATTACCAATGTGAAAATTCCGTATACAAAGGGTTTTGTATAGCTTTTTAAAGAATAAGAAATATAATTCATATTAAATACAACAAATTTACCCATATAGGAACTAACTCCCAGTGTGTAAAAAAAAAAACAACAACTTTTTTCTAATTAAATTCTCTAATTAATATTCCCTCCCCCATTCTTGTAAGAAAAAAGTCTCTGAATGAATTTACGCTAGGAGCAGTGTACCTGCAAGCCCCACCCAAGCCTTCTCTCTCTCTCTCTCTCTCTCTTTAGTTACAGCTTATAAAAATTGAAACCCGTAAAGTGTTTCAGACAAGATACATTGTTATCTTACTCATACATCTGTACTTATTTTACATTAAATGTATATAGACATAAATTTCTTTCTTATTTTTATTATATTATTTTGTTTTTCTGCATTTTATACTGGACCGTATTCACGATGTCAAGCGATAGATTATAGCGTCAATCTTAAAATTGTTACGTTTTGCAAAGTAAAAGTAATAATTCACGTTTTGCAAAGTAAAAGTAATAATTCGCATTTAAATTAAGAGAAAACTAACTCGAAGACATATTTAACTTTTTTACGTAGATTTATTGGAAATCATATCTTTTGTGAAATGACCAAAAGAGGAACAATTTCGTCTGCACCATTTAAAAATTACTGTCAGTGAGATTTTTTTAAGACGATATCTTGCCTGAAAACGAGTAAAAAATGACGTTTTTCCTATAGAATTCAAAAGAATAGCGTCGAAAATGTTACGACAACGATGGCATGTTTGGGATTTAATAACACAAAAACGATGCAGATGAATTTTATAAAATTTTCAGAGAATGTACAACAAAAGTAGGAGATTCAAATAACTAATTTTCATAATATGTATTCGAGCAATTTTTAAAGGTCACCAACCCCGCGACCTACGTTAAGTAGAAGGGAAGTCTCCTCTTGTAGGGTTGAATATTATACAGTTATTGCTGTTGTACTCCTCAGATGGCTAAATCGTATTGACTGAAAAAACAGCAATAATTGTTTTATTATATGATTAAATGATACAAACTCATTAAGCATTTTGTGCCATATTACTTGTTTTCATTTGCAGAAGTCCTAGCCAGACACAATGAGAGAAGCAGTGTTAAATAAACATTACCTGGCAGTTAAATTAAGGATAAATGACACAAACAAACTTTTTTTACAAATCAGCAATATTTTTCAAATAGGTAACCTGTATACTGTTTGCCATGTAAAGTGGAAGAAGTTTGTACGATTTTGTCGCAATGTTAAAAATATGTGGAAAATTTTGTCACAATGTTAAAAATATGTGGAAAATTTTGTCACAATGTTAAAAATATGTGGAAAATTTTGTATAGAATTACATAGAAAATGACACAAAATCGCATATCTAAGTACCAAAGAAAACTTATGATTTCTTTATATTTTAGGGATTTATTATTTATGTCATTTCTAATCAAATTCAGTCAAAAAATATATATCAATCCATGGATCAAATTTTTGTTTGTATTATGTATCCTTAATTTTGAATTTTTTAATCTACTAGTATTTTAGCTGTTATAAAAAAAAAATGTCAGACTTTTTTGTAGTTTCAATTTTGAAAAGGGAAGATTATCAGGGAAAAAAAGACAGCTGAAAAATTCTTTGACTAACCCCCACAAAACGAGGAGAATTCTCTCAACTCTCAAATTTTGTTTTGGGGCTAGGGGTGAGGAATTAAGGTCCATTAATGGGAGACCTTTCAGTGAATATTTTTAGTCTAATTTAAAAAGAAAAATTTACATTCAGAAAAAAGTGTTGGGGGGAGGTTACCTGACCCTCCCCACAATCACCCCCTTCCCATATATTCACGAATGTTACATATTGTATGTTCATTATTTAATCAAATAATTATTAGACTTATTGTAAAAGTCATCCTCATCTGATGAGCATAATCATGGATTGGTGCATTTATTTTAATCAATGTATTTGCATATGATTAGCAGACACGCAGCAGTGGGGAAGGCATTCAGATACTTGTATGTTTATTGCTTAATTAAGTATGTTTACAGTATGTATCATGGTGTAACAATATTTTGATAGTTTTCCGTGCATTTGATGAGGACAATGATGGCTTCATCAATGAGTTGGAATGGGTGAAAGGTCTATCTATCTTTCTCCGCGGAACAATGGAGGAGAAAACAAAGTGTAAGTTTCATATATATCGAATCATATAAATCAGTTGGAAACCATATGTCACAAAATGAGCAAAATTACAAAAGGTGGTGATTTTTTAAGTGTAATGCATCTACTCTTAAATTTCTGAACACTATTTTAGTATATTGCCATTGGAACTTAATTATTTAGGTCATCTGCATCACTCAGGTGACCTATTGCTATTTTTTTCGGCTGTCATCATGCATATATATGAAATTAAGTCTTTTTTTTTAACTACTGAACCAATTTCAATCAGATTTTGTTTGTAGCATCCTAAGGACTGGTAAAAAAATTCCAACTTCCCCTGCTTTCATTTGGTCCTAGTTGCACTCCAGTATTAATTTGTGCTGTACATTCTGTCTATAATTGCACTATTTCAAGTATACAGTATTCATTTAAAAAAAAATAAATTAAAAAATGAAGCTGATTTGCAGAGCCTCTCCCACTCCCCCCCCCCCCCCCCCCCCTTAATACTGTAGATTCCTAATTATAGGCAAGGAATTTATTATCAAGTAATTTCAAGAAAAGCAAAACATGCAAAATAAAATTACTCACTTTTATTTTTATATTGCTCAAAAGCTTTGAAAAATTGAAGTTCTCATGCTTTGAGGTCTACGAGTCATTTATTTAATTAAGTACTTGTAACTATGTGAGTAGCAGTTTCCATTATGGAACTGTAACTAGTAGGTTGCCTATTTCTTAATTTTGGCAAAAGTTTCAAGTACATGTCAGGGTTGTCCCTAAGACCTTGGGGTTGGGGAATTTCCCTGCTTGTAATGATGTAATCCCCCAGTTACTTTGGTGTTCCCCCTCATCACCCTATGAAGAGAGGAACCCCAGACCCCCTTCTACTTTTTGAATGTCCCCTGCTATTTTGAATCTTAGGGACAACCCTGCATGTATTGAATTCTTTGTTCAGCAGGTTGGGGGGAAACGTAAATTCCGCTATAATAGTGGTATACCACTATTATAGTGAGATTCCGCTATATTTTCAGCCGTAGTTGTCCTTGATTTCATCAAATAACATACTTGCTGTTTAAAGCGCAAGTTATGATGGGAATAAAAATGAACAATAATTGGCATCCTTACATATTATGAATTTTATTTAATTTTCTGCCAATGCGTTTGATAATGCGAACACACTTTTTAAAGCGGAAGTTACATTTTTAACATAGCAACCAGTGATTGCGGTAATATTGAACAAAGACTGACTCTTAATATCTCTCTCACATGTGCACAAATTAGTGCTTGTAATAACTTTCAACCAATTTTGGAATAGGTTTGTCGAATTTATAGAAGAAAATTAAATAAAATTCATAATATGTAAGGATGCCAATTATTGTTCATTTTTATTCCCATCATAACTTGCGCTTTAAACAGCAAGTATGTTATTTGATGAAATCAAGGACAACTACGGCTGAAAATATAGCGGAATCTCACTATAATAGTGGTATACCACTATTATAGCGGAATTTACGTTTCCCCCCAACCTGTTCATATAACACATAGTGAATCTACAGGCACTTGTATAAAAGGTATCATAAGCATAATATGTTGAGAAAGAGTGATACTCTGACATGTAAATGTCGGGTAATTGGCCTCTTGATTATCACAGAGTAACTAAATTATTAGGTCACCTGAGACACTTGGGTGACCTATTGCTATCTATTTTCATCCGATGACGTGTCATCTGGCAGTCATAAACTTTTGAACATTTTCATCTTCATCTCATAAACTTTTAAACCAATACGAATACTTTTTGATGTAGAGCATCTATGGGCAGAGGGAGACAAAAACTGTAAATTTCATGGTACCTGCCCCCCGAGCCCTGAAGGTGGGGCCAAAACCATCAAATTAATGTGATTTTCAAAAAAAAATTTTACTCTTGGATGTCAAGGAGTCAAGCTGTTTGCATAATTATAACCTACAATGAGTATTAATTCTTATCAAAATTGTGATATTCATGGCTCCAAGTCAGGGGTTCTGCAGTTAGACTGAACATTCCCCCAAAAAGTATGTATGCAAGTTATTGATCACATAGTGAAAAATGCATAAATTCTTGAAAAGCTTCTTCTCTCCCCCTGTATATTTAGCAAACGAACTAAGTGCATGGTTAAGATAAGCAAGGGTGTTTCTTCCAAAATTCAGAAATTCATGGACTGTAGGTCAGAGGTTCTGGTGTTTGAGTGGCTCGATTGTATACTGTTTACAGGGTTATTTTCGCCCTTTCACACTTGCAAATTGTTTTGCCCCATTTTAAATTCACCCAATTACAGTTCTTATGAAAGAATTATACTGTGTTTTTTTCATTCGCCCCATTTAAATTCGCCTACCTGTGAGTAGGGCAAAAGGGGCAAAAATAAAATGGTGGCAACAATTTCCCTGTTAACAGTAGTGAAAATGCATCAATTCTTTGAAAATCTTTTTCTCTACCCCAGGATATTTAGCAGATAAGCTAAGTGCATGGTTATGAGAAGTAAGGGTGTCTCTTCCAAACTGTGATATTCATGGCTACGGGTTCAGGGGCTCTGGTGTTTGGATGAAATTCTATTGATTAATTTGATTAATTTGATTTCATAGTGAAAATGCATAATTATTTAACAATCTAGGAGGCAGATAGAGTACAACATTGTAATGGGCAATGATATTTTTACCAGATTTGTAAAATTCTGGATCACTGGGTTACACTGTAAGTGTTCTGTTCCTGGGCAAAGCTCCATGGATCATTTAGAGAAATTTGTACTCAACAGAAAGAAGTTTTTGCTATTCACCATGAAAAGTTATCACTGTTAATCATGTAATTTATAGGTCAATTGAATATAAGAATTAAAGGGACTTTTAATGTATAATACAAAAAAGTACTTTCAAGTTTGTAATGGTCATGTAGACTTGTAAATACTAGATGAATAATCAAAGTACTAATAAAGTACTAAAAGATGGGGTCAAATTAATAAAGTTAATGATTTCATAAACTTCACAACTGTTGTAGATTTTCATAGCTTTCATCCTCACAACATCAGAGGTCCTGAGTCAACATGTTGCCGTTGGCCCTTACGTTGTGAGGATGCAAAGCTTTTAATTGTGATACTTCAAAAAATTCAAAAGTTTAAAATTAAAAATAAATTAAAATATAAACATTGTAAACAAAATATTAGATTTACTTTGTATTAGATTTATAATTGAGGGTCTGTATAGCATTAATTGAGTTTAAAAAGGTCTAAATAAATCTGACACTTGCATAAGTAAACAACATTGACATATAGCCTAACATTAAGCATCCTAGCAGTTTGTTTCCAAAGAGTTCAAAATGTTTCAGAAATATCCTAGAGTGTTGAAAAATGTATAAATTACTTTTTCTTTTGGTTTGATTAAGCATGTGTGATTTTTGACCAAAACAATTTCTGCACTCTTTTGTGTAGATTCAATTGAGGTGCTATATGCATGGCTCTCATTTGAGGCCTCCATTGACAGTAAACTAATGAGTGGAGACATGTGACCCTATCAAAAAATGAGACAAGAATACCTTATCTTTGTACATTATATGTTCTTCAAAGACCTGGAGAGGCCAATTTGAGAGTGTGAGATGAGTTTATGTGCTCAAACACTATTGTTTTGTTTAGTCTCCATGGTGATAGTGACAAATGGAAGTGTATTACAGCGCAGGGAACTAATTTTGTTACATAAACCAGCATCAGCATAAGCATTTGTAGCATCAGGATCGAGCTAGCATCAGCATTTAAAAAACAGCATTACCAGGATCAGCATCAGCAAGCAAAGGATAAAACCAGCATTGACCTACATAAAATCAGCATTATCCCACTAGCATCAGAAAATCATTGAGTTTTAATTCAATAAAAAATTAAACAGAAAGAAAGAATATTGGATAAAGTATTCACATTATTAATACATAGTGAGATATTATGATCAAATAATTGTAAAAGGCACTTTTATTGCTTTAAACAGCAATGCTGAAATTCATTATCTTCTTCCGGTAGCATATGCTACTTCCGGTAGCATTGACCTAATTATAAAACAGCATCAGGATAAGGATTAGTAGCATTAGATCAGCAAGCAAAGGAAGTATTCAAATCAGCAAGCAAAGGAAGTATTCAAATCAGCATTGATGTTGTAACAAAATTAGTTTCCTGCACTGTAGCACTGACAAGTAAATGTACAGGCAAGTAAATAATCTACCATATCTACCGTATGATTTGTTACTGAGTACAACTATTTTGTTGACCCCTGATCATTATATTTCTCTTGCTTTTTTGGGCAACATTTCTTCATATATCAGTTTATTTTAGTTAATTTTATTTTTCTATTGATCCTTTACAGTATTGTATTATACTCAGGTGACCGTTGATGCCCTTGGGCCTTTTATTTAAATTTAATGCCAGTAAGGAGGAATGCAACAGCAAAAGATTTCATTTTATGAATCTTTAAGACATCTCATTTGAAGTATGGTTTCAGCAAGGAAAGATTGATCTTAATTTTTTCATATGAATTTTTCTTCTTCTGTTTTTTTTATATGGTGAAAATATATTTGCAAATAAGATGCTTTAGAGGTTAAAATTTGCTGTTATTGAATAAATGCATATTTATATCTAATAAACATGTCAAAAAAGGTCAGAAAGACATTTGAATTTTTTATTGAAAATAATTTATGAATATAAAAAATATAATTTGTGAATATTTTTTTAAGGCATGGATAAAATATCAAAGAAACAAACAAGAAGGGAAATATCAATTGTTTTTAATAAAGGGAATCTAAATGAAAAAGCAAAATTTAAGAAAAATTGCAATTTTTTAAATTTTGACCAATCTTGATAAAATTTAACCAATCGCAACAAGAATTATAGAAAATAGAAATATATAAAACTTTAACAAGAATACTGGGTTCCTTGAATGAAATATGATTTACAAAATATTTGAACTTATCAAAATATTTAAAGTTATGAATCAGGTATATTTCGCTGTAGAAACTGCATGAGAAAGACAGTAATTAAGTAGGGTGAATTCACCATGCATCGGACACCCTCACACTTCTAGCAATATCGCTACCCACCGAATATTATCAAAATGGAACTTAACATGTAGTATGTGGTTAAAATATTAAATTTTTGCCACAATCGTGTGCTATTAATTGAGAAAATATCTCTAAAAACTGATTTTTTCAAAATAAGTCAGAATTCACCATGGATCGGACAATATGTTCACTATTCATCGGACATACGGTATTTAAACCAGAAAAATATCATACTTTGATCTCAGTGCTTTAAAATTAGTGATATCGAAACATTTAACCAATATCACCATTCATCGGACATAGGGTATTTAAACCAGAAAATATCATTCCTTGATCTCGGTGCTTTAAAATTAGTGATACCGAAACATTTTTATCTTTTATTTAAAAATTAACCTTCTAGTTAAATTTGGAGGAATATTTTGATCCACAAATAGGAAGAGATTTTAGTTGCATCACATCGCCTTAGAAAGGCTTTACAATGCTAGTAATATGGCAACTCGTGCCTTTGTCTCGTGGGTTATCATCATCTAGTTTAAAGAAATAAATTGAGTCCACTTCTAGTGGTCATATATCGATAACTTGTATTTTCACTGAAAATTTAGAGTTTTTATTTTCTCTTCTGTAAAAATAAACAGCTGTCATTTGGGTTTTATATGAAAATGGAAGCCATTACCCATGCATCGAAAAGTGTCCGATGCATGGTTAATTTGTGTCCGATGTATGGTGAAATAAACATACTAGTGAAAAACAACTCTAAAAAATATTATACAAACATTGAAGTAAAATATTTGAAAAACTTCTTTAAAATTATCAATCAATGACAAATTTTACTTAGGTCCGACTTGTTCCGTTGAAGTCTATTTAAAAGAACGACAACTCTAAAAATGGCAAAATAGGAAAATTCTGGTTACTCCCCTTTGATGATGCCAAATTTGACATAATTTCAAGGCCATTCTTTTGGTATTTTTATCACAACATGAAAATAAAAATCGGCATTATTAAAAAGTTTAAATCTTCACCTTTAAGACAGAAACAAGTAAAAATACGGGGAGCCTCAGGTTCAATGAAAGTTTATTGCTTAAAGTTGTCCGAAGCAAGGTATGTGTCCAATGCATGGTTAACTCACTCTAATTATCTATTTTGTATTGATTTTGATCAGGATTGGTTTAATTTCAACAGGGATTGGTTCAAATTTGAAAATTGAGTTTTTCTTAAGTTTCCCATTTTCACTTCAATTTCTTTTTAAAATATGATTGTGTATTGTATTTTTCCCATTTATGACTTGTTTCTTGAAGATTTTATTCATAAGTTTTTAAATTTAAAAAAAATAGTGTGTTTTATTTTCATAAATGTGTTTTAATTTAAAAAACCCCCAAAATTCGCATCTGAGATTTCTTGACATATTTTATCATATTTTTATATTGCATGTGCATTTATTAATGACAGTTTTTACACTCTAAAGCATCTTAGTTGCAAACAAAACTGTTTTTACCTTTTCTCTTAGAAAAATACAAATAAATTGAAATTCATATTAAATAATTAAGAGCTAAAATCAAATTTTCAAAGCTGAAACCATACTTCAAAAGAGGTGTCTTATAGAGCCATTAATAAACATTTGGTGTACGTAGTATCCCCCTGTAAGTTAATTAGCTGTGTGTCCACTATTTTTTTTTATTCTTTTTAGTTTGCTTTGATGTTTATGATATGAATGCTGATGGGTACATATCAAGAGAAGAGATGTTCCACCTCTTGAAAAATAGTATTTTAAAGGTAGGACAATTTGATATGTTGAAGAAAGAGACTACTTAAAGTTGGGAAAAATATTTTGCAGGAGCTGAAAACTTGGGCAAGCTTACCAAAGAGATTTTTGTCTGCAATTTGAACCTCTTTAGATCAATTTTTCTTTTTTCAGGTTACCTGTGTCACTTAGGTGACTTATTACTGTCTGTTTTCTGTTTGCCACTAAACAGCCAATTAGCAAATTTATCACATTGTGTAATTTAGTGATAGGGATTTAGATTTGTTAAAAAGAAGGGTTACTCTCCTTTCAAGGAGGAGGCAATTTAGAAATAGTGAAAATAGGGCTTCGTCATTAAAAATTGCAACAAAAGCTATTTCTTTTAAGACTGGGTGCCACTCTACAAAATTGGCCACAATAAGGTTTACTTTGGATAAAAGAATTCAATTTCTTTTTCAAATTTAGGGAGCGTATGCTCTCTTTCAAAAGGAGATAATTTAGAAAGAGAGATAATATGGATGGGAAATTCAAAAATCATTTCAAGAACTACTGAGCCAGGAATTGCAAAAGTTAAGTGGAAGCTTTTTTACATATTGAAAAATTCAATATTTGTGCAAACAATGGATCCTAGGGCAGAGATGGAACCACATTTTTTTCCAATATTATGTCAAACTTTTATCCAAATATTCATTCTAACAAAGGTTTTAAAATTTATTCAGTTCTTTACCCCCATTGAATAGGGATTTGTTCACAAAGAAGGTCAAAGATGCACAACAAAATATGCAAATATTTCCCAAGCAAGGAAAGAAAAAAAGGCAAATAGATTAATAAAAACAAAGGGTTCTGGGTACCATTGTTACTGTGGACAAGCTAATTCAGAGAATTTGTGTCCCCGCTCAAGGAAAAAAAGAAAAGCATTACCAGATCCCCCCCCCTTTCCAAAATTTGCAGAATTATTAAATGTATACATGTATACTGAAGCAAACAAAAAATGCCAATATGGATATATAGCTTTGATTGCTTATTCTTTAATATGTGTATAGAAGATTCTGTTTATATAGAATATTTATCACATAGTAATAATGATTTTATGAGACGTTTGCTCATGCCAGACGTCATAACTTCTTCATTTCATATATTGAATACTATCATTTAGTAAATGGAAAAAACATTTCAGAAAAAAATATGGGATCGTCTGGGATTTGAACCCGGGACTTCTCATATGCTAAGCAAGAATCATATCCCTAGATCAAGGAGGCGCTTGCTTGTGAAGCAATTTAAATGCAAACATTAGACCACATATAATATTTATATTCACGTTCGATATTGTCAAAATTTTACACAACACGTGGTGTCTAATTTAGCCTTTACTAAACAGTTCTAATAGATGTAATTAGAATATAAAGTCCGCTGACAATCTGTATTATATGTATTAACTCTCCACGAGCTCCTGTGCTAAAAATAGTGCCGCACGACTTTTAATACAATAAAAAAAAATGGGGCGGGACACTTTGAGAGGGGCAAGAGAGGCCAAAGGGAGTTATGGTATACAATTCATTGCAAAAGCTCAAAAGCTTCTTGAGTTATCATCTGGAAACAAAGGTGTTACACACAGACAGAATGTATGAATTTATGACCTTGACCTTTTGACCTCAAAATCAATAGCTCAAGTGACCTCAAAATCAATAGCTCAAGTGTACCTTGACCTTTTGACCTCAAAATCAATGGGGATCTTCCTTAAGCCACAGGGAATTGTTATATAAAATTTCATTGCAAAAGTTCAAAGGCTTCTTGAGATATCGTGCGGAAACGAAAGTGTTAAAACAGACAGAATTTATGACCTTGACCTTTGTATTGTATTGGTGAAGTCAAAATATCTGTGTGTTTCCTTAAGGTCAAGATCTAGTAAATGAAAAGAATATTAAGTTTCTCAAACTTTAGAAATAAATTCCTTTAATGATTCTTCATTACCATATCTTTCAGGGATGGGGTAATTGATAGAAGTAATTGTAATTGAGTGTAATTAATTACATTTTTTAAAGTAATTGGAAGTAATTTGTAATTGACAATTTTTTCAATTACCTGTAATTGAATATAATTAATTACAATGAAAAAAAATTCCCTGTAATTTCAATTACTTTTCAAATACATTTCAATTACTTTACATAATACATATTATGTGTATTTAATAAGAAAGTATTTCCAACACAGACACATTACACATTTTGCTATCAAAACAACCCTCCAAAATTTTATATAATTTTATACCATGCTTTGTTTAAATTCAAAGATACGACCATTAGAGGTGATTTATTAAATACTATTGAATCACTATTTTAAAAGTTAAACATATCTTTATATACATATGCATTTGGTACCTGAAATAGCTATTACATAAAACAAGTATTATTTGTCAACATTTGCAATTTAAGGTGTTTAGCTTGCCTACCTGTAGCTGAAATAATTTGGGAGTATTTTATGGTTGATTCATAAACTCTTGAAAACTCGGTTTTAATCAAATTTCATAAAGGCAGTCAATTAATTGATAAATGTACATGTAGGACTAGGTCTTGTGCTGATGAAACACACAAACATGGTAGGCACCTGACATTATTTGTTTTAAATATTCCCCCTACCCTAAATTTACATGTGTTTGTTCTTCAAGATTTTTGAAAGTGAAACAAAAGTAATTGAAATGTATTTAATTACATTCTTCAAAGAAATTGAGAGTAATTAATGACTTTTGTAAAAATCAATGTAATTGTAATTGCAAGTATTTGACAAAATTTTCAATGTATTTGAAAGTATTTAATTACATTTCAAAGTAATTGACCCCAACCCTGATATCTTTGTTAAATTTGGTATTTCAGGCACAGTTTTTAGGTAAAAACAATAAATTTTAAGTTTTAAACTGTCGTTTTCAAAGAAAATGAAGAATATGAGCTAAAAATTGGGAATTTTTTCAATATATCACACAAATGAAGATCATCTGTAGGTTCTCAGAAAACAATAATTTGTATGTTCTTGGTTTCTTCTTTAAAACATTATTAGATTAAATTACTTTTCACATGATTTAAAATTAAATGCCATAAAAATGCTTAATTTTCTGTATTACTTAATGATAATTGTAAAGTGCAGGAAAAAGTAAGTTTGAATTAAGGACTGAATTTAATAGCTACACAGTTTATAAGGTATAAACTGGGTTGGGGCAGTTTACGCTTTATAAAACGCGAAGCGGTTTTAAATTATAAGAAAGCGTAAACTGTTCCAACCCAGTTTATACCATATAAATTGGGTAGCTATTAAAAAATGACTTCAATTTGTACAAAATTTGAATGTATCGTTAGGCTGATCAATACGTTTTTGACACAAGTCATTGTGACGTAGGCAACCCAAATTATACAAATGAATATAAAGTAAATTTTTTATCCAATCAAATACCGTGTTACAACCAGAATTAAATTATTTAATTATGACATCATAATCATGGATCATGGATGGAGCACCCAAAGGTTTCCTAAACTAATTTACTACATCCTGACTCTAACATACCATATAAACTCACCTATAAGTCAGATTTTTGGGATTTAAATTTCTGTACAAACTCTATGTCAGACTTATAGGTGAGTCCTAGAAACACACTGATTGCATTTTTTGCATTCATTAACATGAGGCTCTGTTAATTTACAGCCAGCTACAGAGGAGGATCCTGATGAAGGAATCAAAGATCTGGTGGAGATCACACTCAAGAAATTTGTAAGTGTATTATAGTTCTATCTGTTGTAGAGGTTAAAAGGAGAATACAAAAGATATATAATCAGTCGGTTATGAGGTTTCTAAAAAAGAGCCAGTTATGCTACATGCAACTTTCAGTTTATATAATCAAACCCAGTTCTGTATTCCTAGTAATCTCTATATTGGCACAATCAAAATTAAGCACATTTTCCATGAATGAATAGGTAGTTCAATCAAATTATTCTTAAATTTGACACTATGTATATCAATCTACAAATAATCCTTATACATTTATATAAAAGTAAACAAAAATTAGAGAAACTAGATCAATTACATCTGATAATTAAAATAAATAAATTTTAATGTTATGGCAGATTGGCTAATTATTATGTTTGTAACTCTTTCATATATTCAAAAGAATCATATTTTGTAGGATTATGACCATGACACAAGAGTCTCATTTGAGGACTGGACTAAGTGTGTAAAAGAAGACAGCCTATTACTGGAGGCCTTAGGACCATGTCTACCTAACCTTAAAGTCAGTATATATATATATATATATATATATATATATATATATATATATATATATATATATATATATATATTATATATCATATATTATTCTCTATAGGCAACAGATAAGTCATTATCTACGTCACTAATGAAACATTCACTCTGTATAACTACAGTAAAACTCTGTTATAGCAAAGTCCTGGGGTCCTGTAAAGGACAAGATAGGCAAAGACGCCTTTTTGGCCCTAGGTTTGGTGCATCTCTTAAAGCAATACAATAGTCCATTATATAAAAAAACTGCTCTCATCCCTGTCACAAAATAAGTATAAGATACAGAGAGGTTTCAGGGAGATCACAAAATTGTCAATATCTTAATTTTCTCATTTTTATTCAAACTTTCATTAAATTTAAGGCATATTCAGGGATAGACATTAACTTTCAGATTCACTTGCCCTTCGGGCAAGTGATCTCAAACTTTGACTTGTCCGAATGCAAAACTTGGTTGCCCCAAATTAGGAAAGAACTTAAGAAGAAAATTATTTATTACTGTAAACGTTATGATAAGATAAAAATGTGACCAAATACATTACAGTAACTGTCGATTTGGCAAGTTGAGCTACCTGAAAAATTGTGATGCTGCATTTTGTACATAAATGTATAATACTGTACTTGTAAATTTAACCTGTTATCACACACTGCCCTGCAGCAATAACCATCCGTTTCCTTTTTATAAAATTCATTAAATATAATTTTTGTAGGATCCTTCTGTGATTCGTGATTATCTGAGATAACTGTGAAGCAACACTAAAGGAAGATAGTTGCTACGAAACATACATTTTATTGTGATCAGGATACATCATATACTTATATTTTGTGCGTGAATAAATAATCTAATTTCCTAATAAGAAGTTTACAAAATTTTGTTAGACGTAGAGCATATTTACTACAAAAGAAAATAATGAACCCGATTTATTTTAAATGAACGGTATAATACAGAAACGCTAGCCAGGAATTCCGAATGCAAAAATATTGTCAGTCAGGTAAGTTTTGGAAATAAAATGTACAGTTTATTGTTTTATTAATAAATTAATGTAAACTAAATAAATATGTACATTTGTATGAAAAAAAATCCACTTGCCTGATCGGACAAGTATGTCGACAATTTCACTTGCCCGAACTGATAATTTACTTGACCCGGGCAATCAGACAACCGTTAATGTCGATCCCTGATATTCTGTTTCAGAATACACAGAGCAGAAGGTTGCATACCTACCAAATTTATAATATCAGATACATCTTGTGTATGAAAAACCCAGAGAGGCAAGCTTTGGCATGCTCTGTGTTTCCAGAAGAGAAAAATATCTATTCTGGCAAAAAAAAAAACTTCCAGCAAAAGTGATGAATTTTTTTTTTTTTTTTAAAAGTTTAATCTTTTACCCCCTGTGGTTTATTTAAATCAAAATTAATGTTGGTCATAAGATTAAATAAAATGTCAAATTTGGCCTTTACCATACTTTGCTCTTTACTTGCTTTTAATTTGTTATGCCTGTATAACAAGATTTGTTAAAACATATGTAGTGATTGTCAACATGTACTGGTTTCTTGTAATATCGCAGTACTTAATTCTTTTGTGTAAAATAAGTTATTCCAAATTCTTACTTTAACTTTTCATGAAATGCTATTCATAAACCTAACAATGAGCTAACTTCTTAGCGATAAATTGTTTTCCAAGCTGGCTCGTTTTAATTTGTAGTCTATTCTTAAAACAGGAAGTCTTTATCTCCTAAATTGGGGAGTCTCATTGTATTGTGGTATTGGAATACATGAAAGCTTGGTGCTGATATGAAGTACAATTTTTCAGAGGTTAACATATACAGTAGCTGGACATCCAGGGCTAGTCATTTTAAGACTCAGGCTAGCTTATTTAAATGTAACAACAGTCCATCGGACTAGCAGACCAGAAAAAAAATTCTCTTCAGTTTACTTTCGTTTTCTATGTGTACTGGTTTCCTTGACTGAATCTAGTTTTTTAATTTGTTTCTGTCATCAAAGCGTTTGAAACATTTACTTTTTTTATATGTACTGCGTTCTTTTGACTGAAAACTAGTTTAATTTGTTTCTGTCATCAAAGCGTTTGAAACTTTTACTTGTGTTTTCATTTTGCTTAAAAAATTGTTGGGCTTGTTAGTTTGAGGTTTAATTGGGCTAGTAATTTTTACTAATCAGTAGACCCTGGGCTAGTGAGTTTTCCAAGGAAATTTCAACCCATGCTTTTAATTTGAGGTCACCTGAGTCAATCAGGTAACCTATTGCTATCCATTTTTGTCCATCATCATCCATCATTTGTTGTGTGTTAACATTTGAATATTTCCAACGTCTTCTCTGGAACCGCTGAACCAATTTTAACCAATTTGGCATATAGCTTATATGGGTGAAGGGGAACAAAAATTTTAAATTTCATGGTCCCTGTCCCCCTGGGGCCTGAGGGGTGGGGCTAAAACCACCAAAATTAATGCAATCTTTAAAAATCTTCTTTACTCCTGGACATCAAGCAGTCAAACTGTTGGCATGATTGTAATAATCATTGAGTCCCCTACCAAAATTGTGAAATCCATGACTCCAGGGTCAGGGGTTCTGGTGCTAGGATGGGGCTATTTAGATCATATAGTGAAAATGCATTATTTCTTTGAAAAATTTTCTTCTCTGCTCCTTGGTATTAAACAAAGTAACTAAGTACATAGTTATGATGAACAAGGCTGCCTCTTCCAAAATTTTGAATTTCATGGCCCCTGGGTGGGGGGTTCTGGTGTTGGGGGGGGGGGCTGTATTGATTATAATTATGGCGAAAATGCATTCATTTAATTCTTTGAAAATATTCTTCTCTGCTCCTAGGTATTAAACAAACAAACTAAGTACATAGTTATAATGAGCAAGGATGCCTTTTCCAAAATTGTGAATTTCATGGCCCCTGGGTTCTATTGTAAGGGCGGGGCTCTATGGATTATATAGTGAAAATGCATGAAAATGCATTAATTCTTTGAAACTCTTCTCTGCTCCTGGGTATTATTTAAACAAACTAAGTATATGGTTATGATAAGCAAGGATGCCTCTTCCAAAATTTTGAAATTCATAGCCCCAGGGTCAGGGGTTCTGGTGAAAGGAGGGGGGGCTCTATTGATTATATAGTGAAACAGTATAATTTCTTTGAAAATATTCTTTTCTGCTCCTGGTTATAAAGCAAAGAAACTAAGCGTATAGTTATGATGAGCAAGAGTGTTTCTTTCAGAATTTTGAGTTTCATGGCCCCTGGGTCAGATGTTCTGGTGTAAGGGTAATGCTCTATTAATAATTTTATGAAAATGCATTAATTAGGGTCTTCCGTCTTCAGCGGAAGACCCTTCTATTATTCTTCGGTTTCTTTTTCACTTTTATTATTAGGGTCTTCCGTCTTCAGCGGAAGACCCTTCTATTATTCTTCGGTTTCTTTTTTACCTTTATTATTATTCTTTTTTCTTCTTACAAAATTTGTGCAGACGATTTCTCGGAGATGGCTCGTTCGATTTCATTCAAATTTTCATGGTAGATGCGTTGACATCTGAAGTTAATTCCGGCAATCTCGTTAAGTGATATTTACTTCCGGTCGGAAGTTATCGCCCTTTTATCAAAATTTAGAGGACCTCCTTGTCTGCGATGGAACTCAAAAACGGCTTAAGCTAGAGCGCTGAAATTTTCAGTGATGATAGAGGACATGTTGCCATTTTGCACCTGGGTTTGGATATTTTCCGGAAGTGCCTAGTATGGAAGCTCTGTAGGGGTCGAAATTTAGGACACGAATCATCAGTGAATTTTTGAGACATTTTATATCATATCTTTTAAAGTATAATTAATTTGTTAAAACATATTGAACAAAATTTGTGCAGAATGACAAGATCTGTAATATGATATCAAGAAAAAAGCGCTGACTCATCACATTAGGGGCCGATAGGGGCCAAAAGTCTGAAATCGATAACTCTTAAACAAGCATTATTTTGGTATACATTACTGAAGCAAAAATATTTATCTTAACAATTTACAATTATATATTATGATTTTTACCTCGTATGGCACATAATTAGGGGCCACAAGGGGCCAGAATGCTAAATCTTTGACGCTTTATATCTCGAAAAGGGGAAACATTTTGAAAAGCAATATTGAACAAAAGTTGTCTAGAATGATGGTCTCAACAATGTGCACCCTTTGAATTTTTCCTAAACAGCCCCTATAAGGACTTAAAGGGACGGCCCCTAAATATTTCAAGTCTACATATCTCGAAAACGAAATGAAACTTCTGAATACTTGTTGAACAAAAAGTCTTCAGAATTACAAGACCTTTCATGTGATATCAAGAAAAAGGGGCTGACCCCTCAAATTAGGGGTTCAGAGGGGCCAAAAGTCTTTCATCTTTTACTCTTTAACGTTAAATATTTTGATATTAATTATTGAAGCAAAAATGTTCATCTTCACAATCTGCAACTATATATCTTAAAATTTTCATCAAATATTACGTAATTAGGGGCCATAAGGGGCCCGAATGCTTAATCTTTGATGCTTTATATCTCGAAAAGGGGAAATATTTTGAAAAGCAATATTGAACAAAAGTTGTTTAGAATGATGGTCTCAACAATGCGTATCCTTTGAATTTTTCCTAAACAGCCCCTATAAGGACTTTAAGGGACGGCCCTAAAATATTTCAAGTCTACATATCTCGAAAACGAAACGAAACTTCTGAATAGTTGTTGAACAAAAAGTCTTCAGAATTACAAGACCTTTCATGTGATATCAAGAAAAAAGGGGCTGACCCCTCAAATTAGGGGTTCAGAGGGGCCAAAAGTCTTTCATCTTTTACTCTTTAACGTTAAATATTTTGATATTAATTATTGAAGCAAAAATGTTCATCTTCACAATCTGCAACTATATATCTGAAAGTTTTCTTCAAATATTACGTAATTAGGGACCATAAGGGGCCAGAATGCTTAATCTTTG